TTGCTTGACATTTGTATGCTGTTTATAATGAATGCCACTATAGCCTAATTTGTGTTTTATTTTACAGTTAAAAATATAATTTTATAACTACTTATTTTTCATTCTTGTTCTGTTCTGAATACCGTTAATTTTAAAATATTTGTTGTAGAGTGAGGGGAACTAAATAGGCTGTTTATATTTACCAGTATTTTAATATACATATAAATTACATATATTAATGTAGCCTAATTGTTTGCAATTACAAGGTTAACGGGTGTTTTTGGAGTAAGATCAATTTCTCTTTAGCGATTACTTCCTCTTTTTGGCCGGGTTTCGATTCTGCGTGTCGTAAACTCTAGGGCGAGGCTTCAAAACCTGGGTGTTTTAAGGGGCGTGATATTCAAATGACGATTGTTTTCTGCCGCGACATTTATCAACATGCGATCATTCGTACGATGAGATCAGCGGCATACGAATGTTTCATAAATCACACGTGAACGCTGTCGTAAGTTGATTTGTGCTCACAGATCTGCGCTCGTTTCTACGTTAGATTGATAAATGAGGCCCAATGTCTTTTGAGAAATGTCTTGATGGTGATATATATGCATAATTTTTTTTTATAGCTTGCAAATTCCAAATTAAATTTTTATAATATTTTTAATTATAATTTTCTTTAGAAGTGTGTGTGTGTGTGTATATATGTGTATGTATATATATATATATATTCCTAATGAAAATTGTAATAAAATATATTATTATATATATATATACTGTATAATTTGTATATATATTTCATTTATTCTTTCTTTAGTATTTGTTCAAATTATTATATTACAAATATTTAACTGTGCACAATTGTTTGCATACAATATTGCCAAAGCATTATTACATTAGTCAAATAATGACAAGAAAAAGAACAGTATAACAATAACAAAAAAGTAGAACTACAATAATATGAATTAGTTTGATAGATATTAACATACACGTATTAGATGTTTTATACTTAGTGAGTTAAGGTGTGCAATTTCTACTTAGATACTAATGATAATGTGATTTCAGCAAATGTTTGTTTTTGCACTGAACACTTTTGTCATATTTATGGCCTCTGAATGAATATTTTTGAAGGTTTTTTCTTTCATAAGATCATTGTGTGTGGGCCGTTTTGCTTTTTTGCTTGTTTTAATTCATGAGGATTTTTGGAGCCGGAGTGATCTGAGAGCGCATGTATTGATTCGGGTTGTTTCTCTGTATTTGTGGTGGTTTGTCGCGCTGAAACACTGCTGTTGCTGATACTGCAAGTGTTATGAACACAGCTGAACTCATGTCGGATTTAGTGTTTCAGTTTCTCTGCTCTAACATTTCCTCCGTCTGCTTGTCGATTCCTCCTGAACGTCTGTTCCTCTGTTCTCTCTGTGTCTCTGCAGCCGTCTGCGCAGGCTGTGTCTTACTCAAACCCTTCGTGCCCTCAGGTCATCCTGCCTGTTTCTCCTTCCCAGCAGTACAACATGGTACTTCAGCTCTGCTCTCTCTCTCCTGTATCTTTCCCTTCGTTTACCTTCATCTCTTCTCTCTCACTTTTCTCCTCTTCAGCTGGATTGTGTATTTAGTAGTGATTTTTTAAAGGTATTTTTTGCACCATTTGCTGCTGATTTTGTGAAACAAATTTAAATATAGCAAATTTTAAAACGAAGCTGAGCAGAAATGTGCAGATTTTATTTTTGCTGATGAGCATTTATTATATATTCTGTACCCAAATGTGTTATTTGAGATGTAAAATGGTCCTGTTACAACTATTCTAGGCGGGTGACTTTTATTATTTTATTTTATGTATTTTTTAATATATATTTTTATATAGCTGTCCTGGTACAGCTATTGTAAGTGGATGGCATTTTTATATTTATATATATTTATTTATTTAGTTAGTTAGTTGTATTAATATTATTATTATTTCTATTATTATTTTTTTAATGCTTTTTTGTAATGGTGCAACTATTCTAGGTGGATTGTCTTCTCGTTTTGTTTTATTAAATAATTTAGATTTATTTTAGTTACGTAATAATAGTTATATATTTAGTGTATCTTCAGCAGATAAGGCCATCCCAGAATGCATTGACAATCTCAATGAAAATTGTAATCCAAGAATGAAGATGGAGCACCCAGCATCTTAACCAGTATTTTTGTGTGTTACATTGTTTTTTTGATTAGAGTATTGCATTGTTGGCTTAACAAAATACTGCGTGTGAGAAGCTCCAATTGTGTCCTGCATTCTGGTCATTAACAGAGATTCTGTGCATGAAGAGCATTTCAGATCAGTCACTTATAAAGCTCTATAACTGTTAGGATGCTACCAGTGTGGACCGTGAAGCGGCTCATGTTGATCTCTCTCGGTCTCTGTTCAGGGAGATGAGTTGACTCCAGGTTTCAGGCAGATGTCTCTCAGCCGTCAGAGCTCCAGCGAGGCACCTGAGCCACCCAGCCTATACCAGCCTCCACCCGCCGTACTATCCCAGCATCCTCCACCGCAGCCCAGCTACATCTTGCCCCCGCCGCCCTCTGGATACCAGCCTGCCACTCCACACCCGCATCCTCCTCCACCACCGCCTCCACCAACACAACCCATCCTACAGACAGCTCCGCCCACGCAGGGATACATGCAGCCTCCGCCACAGCAGGTGCTGACGCACACACATACACACACACATACACTCACACACACTCTCACTCACACATACTCACACGCACACACACACACACATACACTTACACACACACACTCGCACACAGATGCACACACACACACACATACACTCACACACACGCACTCGCACACAGACACGCACACACACACACATATTAATACTTTAATTTATCAAGGATGCATTAAATTGATCAAAAATGCCAGTAAAGATATTTCTGTTACAGAAGATTTCTGTTTCAAATAAATGCTGTTCTTTTGAACTTTCTATTCATCTGTGAATCCTGAAAAATAAAATGTATCACAGTTTCCACAAAAATATTAATGTTTCCAACATTGATAATAATCAGAAATGTTTCTTGAGCAGCAGATCAGCATATTATACTGATTTCTGAAGATCATGTGACACTGAAGACTGGAGGAATGATGCTGAAAATACAGCTTTGATTCCAGAAACTAATTTTTATGGAAGCCTGTTACCACCATGGAATAAAAAAATTTATTTTGTTTCTTTATATCACAATTCTGACTTTTTTTCTGAGTTTATATCTTACAATTCCAATTTTAATTTTAATTTTTTGCAATTTTGAGAAAATAACAGAATTGCGATATATCGATTCAGAATTGTGAGATAAAAATTACCATTTTTATTTTTTATTCCGTGGCAGCAGCAAAATAGATATATCAGAATTCCGAGTTTGTCTCAAATTGTGGGATAAGAAGTTGCAATTACCTGTTTTTTTTCAATTGAAAACCGTTATTTTACTTTGTAATAGTATTTCACAATTTTTACAGTATTTTTGATCAAATGAATGCAGCCTTGGTGAGCAGAAACTTCATCAAAAACATAAAAAAAAACAAATCATACCTACCCCAAACTTTTGATCGATGTGCATTTCACAAACACTGCGCAGTATAAAGCTCTGAATGGTGTTTGTGTGGCTATATTATCGTCGTCTCTAGACAAATCACAAGACACATAGGGCTTTAGCTCCAATCCTGAGGTGAAAAGCTGTCATTTCCAGTGTAAAATCTTACCAGCCTCTCTTTCGCACAGCAGTGATGGAAGACTTCAGTTAGAGAGCGAAGTGTGAGAAGGATGCTGAGTGTGAATGTTGTGAAGGAATGTTTGTGCTTGTGAATCACACTCTCCTGCTGTGTGCGCTTGTGCTGCACCGTGGGGACCTAAATTGAGGTCGCCATGGGTACAGAAGCTTATAAATCATACAGAATGAGTTTTTTTGATATTGTAAAAATGCTAAAAGTTTCCTGTAAGGGGTAGGTTTAGGTGTAGGGCGATAGAAAATACAGTTTGTACAGTATAAAAACCATTACGCCTATGGAGAGTCCCTACAAGGATAGTGCACCAGACGTGTGTGTGATAGAGAGAGAGAGAGAGTGTGTGCGTGTGTGTGTACCTACCTAATCATATTTTGGGGATACATTTGTACATAAGTGAGCAAAACCTGACAAAATCGCCAAAAACCTCCATTTGAGGACGTCCTCATTTGTAAAACTGGTATTAAAATATATTTAAAAAAAACATTTTTTAAATGATAAAAAAGCAGAACGTTTTCTGTGAGGGGTAGGGGTGGGTTTAGGTTAAAAAGTGTATAACTATCTGTATATAAAAACAATAGAAGTCATTGTAATGTCCCTATTTAGATAGCCAAGTAAACGTGTGTGTGTGTGTGTGTACTGGTATATATGGTTTATGAGGACACAAATTTGTATAATGACTCTACAACATAAACATGGTTTATGAGGACACTCCCTGTGTCCCCGTAAAACAAAAGGCTTAAATGGCTGCCTGTGACCTCGGAATAAGAATGAAAGAGACTAATATTAGCGTAGATGCCATTCTTCTTACGATGTAGCGAGTACATTGGGTGTTATGGGAAGTGTTCCCGGTTCCGGTTGACCTAATTAATGCAGCCTAACAATCCTTTAACGGATATGAATTATGGAAATGTGATAGTGTGTTATGTGTAAGCCAGGTTAAAGAGATGGGTCTTTGATCTAGATTTAAACTGACAGAGTGTGTCTGCCTCCCGAACAACGCTAGGTATATTGTTCCAGAGTTTGGGCACTAAATAGGAAAAGGATCTGCTGCCCGTAGTTGATTTTGATATTCTAGGCATTATCAAATGGCCAGAGTTTTGAGATGGCAGCGGACGTGAAGGACTATAATGCGATATGAGCTCGCTCAAGTACTGAGGAGCTAAACCATTCAGGGCTTTATAAGTAATTAGCAAGATTTTAAAATGTATTCGTTGCTCAATAGGGAGCCAGTGCAGTGTTGACAGAACCGGGCTAATATGGTCATAATTCCTGGTTCTAGTAAGAACTCTAGCTGCTGCATTTTGGACCAGCTGGAGTCTGTTTATTAAGCGCGCAGAGCAACCACCCAATAAAGCATTACAATAATCTAACCTTGAGGTCATGAATGCATGAATTAACGTTTCTGCATTTGACATTGAGAGCATAGGTCGTAATTTAGATATATTTTTAAGATGGGGAAAATGCAGTTTTACATATGCTAGAAACATGGTTTTCAAAGGAAAGATTGCTATCATGTAGCACACCTAGGCTCCTAACTGATGATGAGGAATTAACAGAGCAGCCATCAAGTGTTAGACAGTGTTCTAGGTTATTACATGTGGAGGTTTTTGGTCCAATAATTAAAACCTTTCAGGATTTAGCAGTAGGAAATTACTAGTCGTCCAGTTTTTTATATCAACTGTGCATTCTGTTAGTTTTGCAAATTTGTAGGTTTTTATCAGGGAGTATGGGTGTACGATATGACGATTTTTGATTGTGGATGATTAAAATATCTCCACGATCTGCTTTATCGTAAATATCACAGTATCGCGCTACAGCGCACATTCATTCAGTTGCAGTTCTGGCGCCTCTGTCTCGATATACTGTACAACGCCACATACATTCACATCAAATGTTACTCAACAGTAGAGTCACACTCACGGGACAATGCACTTACTCACAATCACAAAAGTACGTTATTTGCATGTGCTTTAAAGTCTTGCCGGTTAAACATTTAATTAGAACATTTTGTTCTGACATGCGTTTTTTCTGAGCACGTACACACTAAAAATCCTGTCAAATAGCACCTGATTACTGGACTAAGTTATCTTTTTCTCGTCTGACTGCGCAGTTAATACTGTCAGAAACACATGAGATTTACATATAAACACAGTTGGTTATGTCTGAAGTGAAAGTAAACAGTTGAGAGAAGAACTGATGCGTGCTGTATATTAAACACGTGTCTTAAAGTGACAGCAGCCTAATAGTACTAATGCTGCCGCTTGTCATTAAAGGGAGAGTTCACCCAAAAATTTAAATTCTGTCATTATTTACTCACTCTCATGTTGTCCCAAACCTGTATTAATTTCTGTCTTGTGCTGAACACAAAAGAAGATATTTTGAAGAATGTGGGTACAAACAGCTGCTGGTCCCCATTGACTTTAATAAAATACTATGGAAGTCACTGGAGACTATGCGTTTTTTCTGAGCACGTACACACTAAAAATCCTGTCAAATAGCACCTGATTACTGGACTAAGTTATCTTTTTCTCGTCTGACTGCGCTAATACTGTCAGAAACACATGAGATTTACATATAAACACAGTTGGTTATGTCTGAAGTGAAAGTAAACAGTTGAGAGAAGAACTGATGCGTGCTGTATATTAAACACGTGTCTTAAAGTGACAGCAGCCTAATAGTACTAATGCTGCCGCTTGTCATTAAAGGGAGAGTTCACCCAAAAATTTAAATTCTGTCATTATTTACTCACTCTCATGTTGTCCCAAACCTGTATTAATTTCTGTCTTGTGCTGAACACAAAAGAAGATATTTTGAAGAATGTGGGTACAAACAGCTGCTGGTCCCCATTGACTTTAATAAAATACTATGGAAGTCACTGGAGACTAGCAGCTGTTTGTAGCCACATTCTTCAAAATAACTTTAATGTTCAACAGAAGAAAGAAACTCATTCAGGTTTAAGCAGCTTGAGAGTGAGTAAATGATGACAGAGTTTTCATTTTTGGGTGAACTATCCCTTTTAATGTTAATAAAACAACAAAACACAAAATCACTCACTGCTTTTGACTGAAGAACTTTAATACAGTTGCTGTAATAAGAAACAATGTATAATTTATACAGTGAAGTGTATATAGTGTTTATTTTTATATTTGTTCATTCAGTTTCTTGAATGCTGCTGATAAATACACCGACTGTACCTGTTTGTTTTATTTGTATATTATGTGTATCTTTCTTATTTTTTAATAACAAAGATAAAAAAATTACAGATTTTTTTCTTCGCCCACTTTGGCCTAAATATCTTTTTTATTTTATATTTTGTTACCTTGTAAGGCTTTGTTTTTAAAATAGGGAAATTAGTTTGGCTGTGCTGCTCAGACAACCTACAAAATAATAAAGCCAACATGATAAAGAATCGTGATAAAATCCCATGAAAAATAACGTGATATGATATTTTTGCCATATCGCCTACCCCTTATTAAAAGATACAAAGTCAAAATTTACATAAGTCATAACGAGATAAGATATTACGTCATTATTTTGATTTATCAAAGCATGATTTTTCTTTCGCCTGTGGAGGAAATGTGTTTCCGTGCCTCTGTCTCTACTGACTCCTGTCATTTTTATGCTCTCTTATATTGATGTCTCATATTAAACTGACTATTAAAGTTCTGAACGGCTCCCTGACGATGAGCAGTTGAAGTTTGATGTGCTTTTGTCTTGCGTGATCAGCTCCTCTCCAGACCATGATGACCAATCAGCAGCCTGCGTACCAGAGCATGATGGGAGTCCAGCAGCCTCAGAGCGCCAGTATGATGAACACGCAGCGCACGGCCATGAACGGACAGATGCCGGGCATGATGGTCCAGTACCCACCCATGCCCTCCTATCAGGTGTGTGTGTGTGTGAGAGAGTGTGTATGAGAGTGAGTGTGTGTGTGTGTGTGTGTGTGAGAGAGTGTGTATGAGAGTGAGTGTGTGTGTGAGAGAGAGAGAGTGTGTGTGTGAGAGAGAGAGAGTGTGTGTGTGAGAGAGAGAGAGTGTGTGTGTGAGAGAGAGAGAGTGTGTGTGTGAGAGAGAGAGAGTGTGTGTGTGAGAGAGAGAGAGTGTGTGTGTGAGAGAGAGAGAGTGTGTGTGTGAGAGAGAGAGAGTGTGTGTGTGAGAGAGAGAGAGTGTGTGTGTGAGAGAGAGAGAGTGTGTGTGTGAGAGAGAGAGAGTGTGTGTGTGTGTGAGAGAGAGTGTGTCTGTGTGTGTGAGAGTGTGTATGAGAGTGAGAGTGTGTATGAGAGTGAGAGTGTGTGGGAGTGTGTGAGAGTGAGAGTGTGTGAGAGTGAGAGTGTGTGAGAGT